GTACAACTAGTTAGATTAATTGGCTATGTTGCCACTGCTACTCAACCTAATGTTTCTAAAGCTCACTCAAAATTGGCAGAATTTCTAGTTAATCTAGGTTAGCTTCACATTAACGCTGCTTACTAGACGCTTGCCTATCTATACGCAACAAAGGATTAAGCGCTCTACTACGATGCTTCTATATCCACCGACATCGCTCACATCGTCGATCACGATGAGCCAGACTTCTTTGGTGCAACCGACGCCTCATACGCAGACCACAAGGCCACACAGAAAAGCTCTCAAGGCTATATATTCTTCCTGTTTGGCGGCCCTATTGACTAGAAAGCGACACTTTAACGATGTGTTACCAAGTCTACCACTAAAGCTAAGCTTGTTGCTGCTTCATCAGCAGGCACTGAGCTTCTCTGGTGGTGGAGACTCTTCAAGGACATCGAATTCGATCTAGGCAATGAGCAAATACTGTTTTGTGACAACTAGCAGACAATTCGTCTAGTCACCACGGCTACGCCACGACTCAAGACCTCACTGCGACACGTCGATATACATCATCACTGGCTTCGCCAGGAAGCACAAGCACACAACATTAATCTTTCATACATACAGACTAAAAGCCAGCCAGCAGATGGTCTAACTAAACTGTTGCCTCGTCAGAGACACGAAAATTGGGTATCACTTTTGCATTTCAACACATTTCCTAAATTATGAGCTCTACAATGTACAGTACTCTTCCTGGTTTTTCCTACACGGTTTTTACAGGTTTAATGAGGCTGTACTCCTTACGCTCTTTACTTTCATGTTTGTTAGGGATACCACCAACCTCCATACAGAGCGAGAGGCAATTAGATCTCATATGCTTTTGAGGACGCTCATCAGCGAGATCAACCAACACCGCGACGGCGGACGATCCCCACCTGGAACTGCTCCAATCAAGCGGCTACCCACCGCACTCAAACAAGCAGCTCTACCTGAACAGGGTAGGGGGTGGCCTATGATCACATCAGCTTCTACATACGTTCGAACCTGAGGGAGGTGTGTAAGCCCAGGGTACCTTGCATGGTCACGTGGATTATCCAGCGACCAATCAGCCCACTACTCTATGTATATAAGCTTAGATCACAGACCTCTCGGTGATGAAGCAGAATACACACAATCTACTTACAGTTACTCTCGGCGATTTTAAGTTCTAGCATGTTGAAGTACTTGCTGTACTTATTATGAGAGTCAGCGGCATGGTGATCGGAGGCCATGGCGGAGGTCCATCGTGATGTGAGTTCATCTTCGTGACGCTCGAGGAAGCGAGTAACCCAGCTATCGCTAACGTATTTTTTGGCTATAGGTGACGCGAAGTTCGCGATCATTTCGCGTGTAGGAGGCAAGTGTTGAACTGTGAGTTGATCTATGTAGGTTACAAGCTCGAACTCCTCGTCGGGGGTGAGTAATTGCTGGTTGATGGCCTTATCTTCATTAGACCCTGTCACGCCGCGATACTTGCGCGACAACTGTGATCGCCCAACACCACGGTTATCAGCAATTTCTTTGCAGCGAAGTTTTCTGGCTGCATCAGCTGCAGCTTCATCTTCAAGAGCAGCTTCCATCGACTTCGTGGCGTTGAGTTATGGCGCTGAAGATTTTGGTGTGTTTTGGTGATCGCGTACAGCACGGGCTCGGGCACGGTACCGTGCCCCCGCATCCGATGAGCCACCCCAACGAGATTTCGACGACAGAAAAATGAGGCTGTAGAGCCACGCCAAAACGCTATTATCGCGAGAAAAGCTGGTGTATTGCTATATAGATGCTTTCGAACAACTTGTGCTATTTGTATCGTGATGGTTTCCTTACGTTGCGGCCGCGTTTAGTAAATTCGGGTGGGGGAGACGCAGCTGGAGGTTCAGCGTCAACACGACTTCGCGCAGTCACAACACGACGACGCTTTGTCGAATTTTTTGCAGCACTGTGTGAGGCTCTTCGCTTACGCTTGTCGAGTGTATCGTGAGATTTTTGAGCGGTTGCAGCGTCGCGTTGCAGCTTTCTGAGCGCTCGTTCGGCAGCCAGCGCTTCAGCTTGTGCTTTCTTCGCCTCGCGACGCTCCTCAGCAGCACGCTGTCGAGCCACCTTTGCCTCCTCTTGCTGCTGCTTTTTGTATACTGTTGCCGCCGCCATTGCCTCTCTATCGCGAGTTTTTTGGAGTTGTAGCTGCGCGGCTTCGTCGAGTTCTGCAGCTTTGCGCGCGCGCTCGCTGGCAAGCTTCCTGTGACTGTAGAATACAGCGCCGCCGTGCCAGTCGTTGCCGTCTTGTGTAGTCAGTGTTGTCCGCTGCGTCGGGCGCTTCTTGATGACGTTGAGCTCGTGTTGTAGCTCCTCGTTTCGAGTGCGAAGAAGCTCGTTGTTGACCTGTAGCGAGTGTAGGCTTTGCGACAGCCGCTTGGCTTCAATTCTGGCCTTGTCAGCAACTGCAGCGTCAAAAGTTTTGTGCAGCTCAGGCCAGCTATCGCCGTCGCCATGCTCTCCAATTTCTGCGTCTTCATCTTGTCATTGTGGGTGGTTGTTGAAGCGTTTTAGCACCGCGTCTGCGTCCATCGGCCACACGCCTGTAGCTTGAAAACTCTTCAATATGAGCTCCGGGGTCATTGTAGAGCTCCACGCCGGCCAAAATTTGCTGTAGAAGTCGCGTTTCGTGATCCTCGTGAGGCCTTGGGTTCGCTGGAGGTAGTGGGTGAGCTCCTCGGTGTAGTGCCTCGAAAGCGGCGCGAAGAGGACGGCATCGAGCGGCTGCAAGCTGTGAATTGAATGAGGTGGAAAGACCATGAGGAGGATGCGATTGGCGTCGCAATACTCCAAAAATTCGGGCGTGAGGTGGCTGCCGTGGCCGTCAAGGATCAGAAGCCGCCATTGACGGCGAGCTTTGGCTGCTGTATGGCGATCAAACACCTGCTGAAGCCAGGCAAGCCCCAGGTCATTGTTTGAACATCCCGTCGCTGAGTGGGAGATGAAAAGTTGGTGTTGTTCGGCCACAAGGTCGTCAACCCAGGTCGATTGAATCCCAGAGGTGCCTGGTAGATGAGAGCGGGCGGTAATGCCTCTCCAGAAGCGCATACGCAAGCCAGCAGCGTTACCCATTCTCTGTTGCCATCTCTGAGCGCTGTGGTGCGCTCTTTTGACTCCCAAATTGCCTTGGAGACTATCCTTTTGGTGCGGCTGTTGATGCCGACAAAGAAGCCTTTCTCATCCATATTGTACGTGTTGCGCTCGTCAACGCCGTGTTCACGCATCTTAGAGTGTAATAGATTGAAGTACAGCTCGTACTTGCGCTTACTGTCAGCCAAATGGCGCTCACGATTCATCCCGGCGCTCCATTTGGTGGTGAGCTTGTCGGCATGGCGATGTAGAAACCGATCAATTCAGCTGTCAGAAACCTCCCACTTCGCAACCGCACTGGAAAAATTTTGCAGCATGCTTCTGGTGGGTGGCAAGCCGTCCCTTGTGCATCTTTCTATGTATTTGACAAGCTCCTCCTCTTGTTGTGGGCTGAGTAACTGTCGCTGGCGCGCTTCTTCTGCATTTGAGCGTATACGACGGTTGTACCTCCGTGACAACGTCGTTCGATCAACCCCGAATATTTTGCAACTTGGTGGTCCTACAGTTGTTCTTCACCTTTATGCGATTCCAAATATTCAATCACTTCTTGAATCGGATCCATGGTGGTGGAGTTATGACGCGTTGAAGTTGTGGGTATCTCAATGTTGTGATGTTCCGGGTGGCTCATCGGCCGAAGTGGCTCATCGCATGCGGGGGCACGGTAGGGGTTTTGCACACGGTTCTTTGTCGGCAAAACTGTCCGACTTTTGCTACCCGCCCACAGAAGCGTGCCTTCTCGTCCCGTCCCTCGGTTATGTTCGTTGCCTATTGGCCGGATTTAAGGTGCTCTTCCGTCTGCTCCAGCTGCGATCCTGTGGCTTCATTTCCTGCCTGTACCACTCTTAGCGTGCTTGACTGTGTCCGCAGTTATTGTTGGGCCTGAAACACCTTTGCGCTTAGCTTCCATGTGCGCCTTCTAGGTAGGACTGCGGAGGTGTCGTTAGGATCGGGGTAGCCATTGGGGCTCCGGGTGAGTCCGAACGCAATGACCTCGAGCTACCGGACTTCTACCACGACCCGAGCTCCCGGTGCCAGGGCGCTAAAACCCAACAATCGCCTATTCTTGCTTTGATACTCCAGATGGGAGGGCTCGACTCATTGCCGCTGCTCGCTGAAGTCCAGCATTGGTTACCACGACTCGTATCGAGGGGCATTGCAATTTTTCCAAGATCCACCATGAGCGCAATCGAGATGATCAGACCTGTCCAACCTCGAAAGAGCCGTTATAGTGTTAACAGAAATATTGTTGTTATAGAAAGTCACGTAACTGTTGATTACTGCGTCCAAGAGCCATCACTATTAAAGATCCTAGAGCATGTCACTAGGCGATCTGGCTTCTGAACAGCGTGTTGTAGTTGTTGTTGTGATTAACGCTAGACAGTGTACAGAGTTTTGCACAATGGTTGAGGTACCCGACCTGAGAAGTGAACTGTGGATCATCCGTAATACTAGCTTGACGCCTCTTCCCGCCCCTCGGAGACCCTTGTCCTGCACGGATGCGGATCAACTGCCACGCGAGGAAAGACTCGGTAGAGTTCCCTTGCCTACATCTCTCTAGCGTAGACTCTCAGGGCAAACCACATGGGATAGGGGAAATGTTGACACATTAGTGAAGCAAGATCTATAAAGGGTAAAGGACAAGGATGTGGGCATACTATATAATGCTATATTGTGCCTAAAACATTTTTTTTCCTGGTTGCGAGTTCTCTTCTTTCCTACATATCCTTATTTTGACGCAGTACAGATCGGCTCACCCCGTAGCACTATACCCTCACTTGTGAGTGCTGCAGATTAGTGGGTATTATCCCCCAGATAGATTGCTTGGATCAATCAGATTGGGGACCAACGGCACGCCTTGAATCATGGAAGATCGAAGTGGACAGGTCACAGGCATAGCCGTTACATTCTTCGTCTTGACATGGCTCACCGTTGGCCTTCGATGCTACGTCAGGTTAGACCCGTCCATTTCTTTATTCTACAGGGTAGTCATCTAACATAGTTCATAGATATTTTATAGTGAAAGGTTTTGGATTAGATGACAAACTTATGGTCACCACTCTCTGCTTCTTCACAGCGTACCTGTCATGTCAACTTGGCGGCGCAGCCTATGGTACCGGCCACCATACCCCTGTACGAACTCCATGTGAGACGTGTACTGACTTCGTACACCCATCTTGAGGTCCGCTTTGGGCGATGGCAAGATCTCATCGCACTGGAAATGCCATTAGATAAGGATCTTCATTGTGTGACAACGGCAATGATGCATTATTGTAAAGGCGTTGCATACGCCGTTACTGGCGACATCGCGAACGCACAACAGGAACGCGACGCCTTGGTCGAAGCCGTGGAGCGTATTCCAGCATCTCGGATATGTGGGGATTTCCCTAACAGGTACAGTATCCAAAACTGAAGGCTGTGCAAAGGACATACTAAGTCAGATAGGTCTAACGTTGTCCTTCAAGTTGGGATAGCAATGCTGGACGGTGAGCTTGAGTACCGCAAAGGTAACTACGAAGAAGCTTTCAAACGCCTCGAAGCAGCTATCCAGCGTGACGACGACCTCACATACGCCGAGCCGTGGCCATGGATGCAGCCAACACGGCATGCGTATGCCGCTCTCTTGTTGGAGCAGGGCCGAATAGAACATGCGGCCGCAGTCTATAAAGCAGATCTGGGGTTCGATGATACGCTACCACGGGCAAGGCAACATCCGAACAACGTATGGGCGCTGCGTGGCTACCACGAGAGCCTGATAACGTTGGGTCGGAAAGACGAAGCAGAAATCATTGGGCAGCAGCTGAGAATTGCACTTGCTGTAGCGGATGTTAGTGTCAATGTGAGCTGCTACTGCCGACGCACTCGTGCGTAGTGAGAACGCGTAAAGGACGGACAGTTCGTGATGGGCCGAGGTGTTGCATTAGGATGCGAGCGTCGATGGGAACGTCCGGTTGCTGATTAGTTGGGCTTCATTTCTCGTCCAGGTCATTTTAGAGGCCGATCGTCTGTCTTGGGTCTGGAGAGGGTTTATGGTGTAAAAGATGCAAGGATGGTTAGCATTGGCTGTGTTGATGCTTTTTCGAATAGCTTTTTCGAATGGATGGATACAAACTCGGTTCCGTACCGGACTGATCAGTCCGAATCTGTCTACAAAGTTAGTACGACTCGTGGCACCTGTCACATCTCTGCCCGGGCGTTCCCCTTTCGATCTGATTCGTGGTGTCAACAGCCTTACGCACTTTTTGGGAGTAGCCTCGGTGGGCTTCAAGGGGGCGGAGAGCGACCCGAGCGACAGCGTTGTTACTGTATAAGCAGTCAGCAGGTGGCTTGGTGTGCATTGCAACTGAGTCGTGCCCCATGTCCCATTCATCAGCTCTTGGGTGTTTGAGTTTCACGATCTGCCGCTAAGGTCGCCGACAGCTTCCAAGGTTCGCCACCCATGCAGCTCCCACGTGTTTTTACCAAAAATCATGCTCGATGGCTTCGCTTGCTACGCCCCGTGGAGATTTTATCCCAACAGACTCACGACTTGGATGCACTTGCGCAAGCAAAGAGGCGTCGACAACTTTCCCTGAGGAACTGCGGATCCTTCCCGTCTCTGTGCCGCCCCACGACAGCGTCGCTTGGCGTTTAGCCGCCTCTACTGAATGTTAGAAATCAAAATCGAGGTCAGTCTGTAGACCCCGAAAAAAGCGCACGCGGGAACCTGGGACCGAAAACTCTGACGTCTGCACCCAACACGGGCACTTGGTTGTCAGAACGGCGTCCGTCGATGTTTGTCGCGCGCGGGTAGCCCATACTTGCGGGAGCTTCACGAGCCGCAATGCTCTATCAACAGACTATCATCATCTTACGTTGATGCAACACGGCAAGAGACCGATCATGCATTCCCAGAACAGAAGCTGCGCGACTACGGAAATAATCGCCACAAGACCCCTGGTCCCCTATCGGAATGCCTGAGCTTTGGATCAACATGGTGTGAAGGAGGAGACACACCCGCGGCGTCTCGCATGCCTGAGTCAGTAGCATAGGGCAGGCCCACGAGCCGTCTTTCCCCTAGGTTCCCATCGAGTCGAGACTCGCTAAAGTGTGGGTTGGCTCATTTTGGCTGATACCCAGGGCTCTGGGTACGAGGTATATGGAGTCAAAATCCGCCGGCTTCTTGAGGAATTTGGGGATGAACCAGATTTGCCCGAATTCACGCCTTTATCATGGCTTCCAGGCACGAACGAGACAACCGGGGACCTGAACTACAGGCGGTATGTTGGAGAAAGTTGAGCGAAGTGGAGGCCATTGACTGATGTTCGCAGGTATGCTCAACCTTCGTCTCTCTAGCCTTCATAGCCACCGTCCTACGAGTTTACGCGCGAGCGCGCGTCGTTAAAGCCTTCGGAGCCGACGACTGGTGGATGGTGGCAGCATTATGTAGCCATGTAATGTTCGCCACTTGCGCAATCGGTGGTATTCACTATGGCACTGGGCGCCATATGGATACACTTTCGGGTGAACAACAGTTTAAAGCAATGCGCGTATGTCCAGACATGTGCATTCGTTTCGGCCACAATACTAACAGTACATACAGTACTGGTGGCTCTGCTACATCGCATACTGCTGGGCGATGATTACATCCAAGGTGTCCATTGGCCTGTTCCTCCTGCGTGTCACTGTCAAAAAAATACACCAGTAAGCAACAATTGCTGCACGAATTGGGCGTGAAACGTATACTGACTTTGCACGCTGAAATCTAGGTACATCATCTACGCTGCGATGGGCCTCACGGTCCTCTGTGGACTGGTCTTCTTCTTCGTCACCCTCTTCCAATGCCACCCAATCAGCTTCTTCTGGAACAAAAGCATCGATGGAGGAACTTGCATAGACGTAGACATCATTATTGGTCTTACGTTCCTATACAGCGTAATCTCGGTCATCAGTGACTTCACTTTTGCCATTCTACCCTTCTTCCTCATCTGGGGCTTGAACATGTCGGTCAAGACAAAGGTTTTGCTGATTCCCATTCTCGGCATGGCTTGCATGTAAGTTGTCTTGGCATCCATTTGCCATACTATTCCTAACGCCACCGTAGTGCTAGTGTAGCAGTCTGTGTGCGCATGGGCTACGTCATGGATTTCAGGAACCCCGACTTCCTCTGGGCCACCGTCGACATAGCAATCTGGTCCGACATTGAACAAGGTCTGGCCATCACAGCTGGCTCGCTCGCTACTCTCCGTCCCCTCTGGCGACAAGTTTCCGAGAAATTTGGATTTTCAAACTCATCGTTCGGCCCTTCAGGTCCGCGAACACCACAATGGAACAACGACCCAAACAGAGAGCTGAAGAAGAAGCCCAGCTTCTTCAGCATGACAATGTCTTTGCTGAAGACTGAGAAAGGAACACCCAAGTCAGAGATCGACGAGTACTACGGAATGGGCAACCTTCAGCCAGTCCGGCTACGCGACGATCTATCCACAGAGAACGAGAAAACCGACAAGGTGTTCAATACTTGGAAAATCAAGGGAGGAAGCAAGGTGTCTGATGAGGAATGCCGGATTGGCGAAATCACTTTGGAGACACACATCAACCAAAAAACCGAGATACGGTAGAAGGAGAGAATGGAACTGGAGTGGACAGTCAACGATATTGACCACTGTGTTATTAGCTAATTTAGATTTTATGACAGCGTCTTCGTGACAGCGCGAGCCACTCAAAACAATGTAATAAAAAACACTTCATAACAAAACTTGCCTGCAACACGTCGCAGTCGAAAACATCGTGATATCTTACGTGATGTGGAGCCCAAGCATACATGGGCAAACCGGTTAACCGGTTTCGCTTACCTACCGGAACGACCCCCAGTTTAACCGGCCCAACCAATCAGACCAGTTGAAAATGTAGACCGATCGGAACGACCGATCATTTTGCCCATGTATAAATCGTTCCGATTGGTCGTTTCGGTCGGTAAGCGAAACCGGTTAACCGGTTTGCCCATGTATGAGCCCAAGTAGGACCGTAAATCCCACACACATGAACTTGAAGTCATTGCAATGCAAAATGCTCGTCGAACCAAAAGGGGTCCAATAGTAAGAAACTACATGATCCTGGGGACCCCAACTCTTCACCAGCACCGATCACCGCAAGTTACTGATCTTGGCCCTCAAGAAGTTCTCGACCATCTCATCGGTTACTTCCGTGGTGTTCGACGATTGAAAGCGGGATTCGCTTCTCCTCCCCGCTGCCGAATCAGGACATTTCTCGCCTCGGAACCTCACGTCGCCGACCACTTCATGCGAGGCCCCATTTTGTACCGGTCCATCCGGCGCATAGCCGTCAGATGTCGTGGCTGTGCCCACTACACCAGCAGCCCCACTGCGATGTTAATCTTGACCATTAATTGACCTTCTACCCTCTTTCGTCTGCCCCTACATTTGCGCACCGCTTATCCTTTGGTTCGAGGGTGTTAGGTCGCGATGGAACGGGCGCTGTCGCTGCTCCGCGGCTTGCTTGTCGACTTCCATATGCCGCCTGATGGGTCAACAGTATAAGCGTGAGGGTCGTGCTTGACCAATTCGTCGAATATCGGATCATTGGGTACCCTTTTGAAGAAGACGTGTTGGAACTTGTCGCCCTTTGCTTCTTCGTCCTTTCGCATTTGCCTTTGGCCATTTTCGAGTGCGTTTTTCGCTGCTGAAACGCCTTTCATGTCACCTTTGCGTAGGGAGGATATGACATCGCCCCATGCTTTCCGGCTCTCCCATGGGTCTTGTTCTGACAGGTCGGGCACAGTCATGGGTTTGTGCTTGATGGTTCTGACGTCGAATGTCTCCACACGATATCAATAGCTATATATATTAATTAAAGCCTATAGATACCAGCACTAGAAAAAATGGCGATAATAGCTTTTGTGTGAGGCTGTACAGCCTCAAGTTGTAGAGCTGTTTTGGTGTTCACGTGGCTCGGTTTGGCTGGGGGGCCGGGTTGGCCGTCATCATCGGTAATCCGAAGTGCCGTCGCGCCGGCCAAGTTTGCGCGTCGTCGCGTGTTTGTCTCTACCTTGTCCAACCATCACCACTTACATCACACGTCTTATCTCGTCACCTTTGGTTTGTCTTACCCTTTCTGAATCACATAGAACTCTGAGTGATCGCGTTTGCGACGACCACGCTTTGGCAAGATATCGGCGGCTGACATGTCTCTTCGAGGATGTCTACGCAATCGCTGTCGCAGATCATACAGTCTAAACCGATAGGTGAAGGACTAGATGGCTTTCGCAATACTTTCAGATCGATATGCGAAGACTTCGGCGTCTCCAACTCCTCACAAGCGCTTGACCAGGTGGGCTATGAAGGTAGTACAGGCTGAACATCTTTACTGCACTTCTAACGCGTATTAGAAACCCAGGATTTGTTAGTCAATCTTCTCTCTGCTTTGCTAGCTCTCCCGGCCGCTCGAATTCTGCAGTCCCGACATAGAGGCAAGACCCTCTTCCATGACCTCTTGAGACTCTGCAGTGGTCAGCTCCGATAACTTCGACGACGGACGGATACGACCTCTACTCGATGCAATCATCAACAACCAGCCCGATGAGGTTGTTTGGGATAGGGTATACGAAGCCGTCACCGAATCCACGCCGCCGCCCCGCCCTTCCTCGTCCTTCCAACAAACACCGCTGTCAATCAATACGGGCAGCTTCGCGAACTCGGCCGAGCACCGCAAACACGTCGACGATGTGCTGAAGGAGGAGCTAGGACACCTGTACGTTGGCGTACCCGGTTTCTTCGACGCATTCTTCGAAGATGTGCCGGGACTGAGAACAGCGGCACAGGCTGTGTTGGACAAGTGCAAGGAAGGAGACAGCCCGCTCTACCGGATGGAGAGCGGCTGGCAGGGCTGGCCTGAAGGGGCGAAGGAGAAGGATGTCTTGAGCTGGTTTGCACCGCTTATAGACCAGCTTCTGGACATTGGGGATGAGCACCTGTCAACACCCCGGAGTCCACGGCGACCGCTGGCACAGCCCCATCGATTCTTGCAAGGCTCTACGGCCGATCGCAAGCTGGACATTGGCTTTGTGGACGATCCGGACGCTGGCGCGGACTCGAAGTGCCGCTGGTCGCAGATCCTCATACCTGGAGAGCTGAAGAGCAACCCGTCAGCCGATAAAGCGTCCAAGGCGTGGCTTGACCTGGGCCGGTACGCAAGGGAGGTGCTCGCCGCGCAAGACAACCGCCGCTTCGTTCTTGGCTTCACTCTCTGCGGACCCTTTATGCGGCTGTGGGAGTTCGACCGACTTGGGGGCATCGCCTCTGAGCAGTTCGACATCAATGAGGATGGACTGCAGTTTGTGTCTGCAATGCTTGGGTTTCTGTGGATGAATGAGGCGCAGCTGGGGTTCGATCCGACTATCGTGACAGTCGGAGACAAGCGGTACATCGAGATTGAGCGTGAGAATGGGAAAGAGTGCCTCGTCGTTGACAAGATGATCAAACGAGTGCCTTGCATCGCCGGCTGCGCAACAACCTGCTGGAAAGATTATCAAGAAGAAGACCCTGGCACGCCGCTCGTTGTCAAGGACTCATGGCAGTATCCGGAGCGCGAGGAGGAGGGCGAGCTGCTACGCGCGGCGACGGAGAAGGGGGTGAAGAACGTCGCGAGGTACTTCCACCATGAGACGGTCCGTGTAGGCGGTCAAGACGACGACATCCGCGCAAACGTGCGAAAAGGGCTGGACATAACAAAGGCAACGAACTATAAGCCAGAAAAGTCAATGCCGCCACCGAGCACGACCGGACGCCGGGCTTCGCGGAGAGACGGGAGCAGCAGCGCAGCCGGACGGAAGCGATCATCGAGCTGCACCGACGCCTCGCTGCCGCCCAGCAAGCGCACCTGTTCGAGCTCGCCAACAAAACTTGCAATTGTGAATAGGGTCCACCGCCGTGTCATCGTTCGCGACTACGGGAAGGCCATCTATAAAGCAAGCTCCCTAGTCAGTCTGCTTGCTACAATAGAGAATGGCATAGACGGGCATGAGTCATTACGCGAACTAGTCAAAATACTTCAACGCGACATATCACTGAGCAACCTCCTGGTGAACGAGGATGCCGAAAACCCGTCTTGGCCGGGATTTTTGATCGATCTCGACCTTGCGGTCGACGAGCGGAGGGAGATGCCGTCCGGAGCGCGTGGGAAGACTGGCACGCGGGCGTTCATGGCAATAGGAGTGCTCCTCGAGGAAAACCATTCGTTCATGCACGATCTTGAGTCGTTCTTCTGGGTCCTCTTCTGGGTGTGTGTTCATTATGATGGGCCAGCCAAAGACGTTGGGGCGACGGAGTTCGAAAAGTGGAATTATTTAGCCACGGAGGAGTTGGCGGAGTTGAAGTTAGGGCTTGTTAGCACGGAGAGACATTTCCTTAACCGGATCACGAAGGCCTTCACGCCATACTACCGGCCGTTGATTCCACATGTGAATAGGTTGCGACGGGCAGTGTTCCCGATGGATAAACCGTAGGAGAAAGAAGATACAACATTGTACACTCGGATGAAGGAAATTCTTCGGACGGCGCGAACGGATCTAGAGTGTTCAGAGTAGGCATTACAGCCAGAGGCAAACAAGGTTGTCGTAATTAATTTCTTTAACGTGGTTCACCATCGAGCCGGCCACCCCAACGAGTCGGCCACTAAACCCCGCTGCGTCGCCTGCGCAGCGACACAATGCAACACCACAACAAATTACTATGCAGTACGCAATAGAACAGTATTAATAAGACGCGTCGCTATCATCTGCGTCCTCTATTTATATCTTACAGGTGCGGGAATTGTGTCCAATTTCGCTGCAACGGCCGCAGCGCCTCTCTGCGCGCACCCTCTTCGCAGGCGTCTCACCCTTCTCACGACTGTTACCCTCCTTTTCAGCAATTACGTCAGATACCTCACCAACTGTAAGAGTTTCCTCTACGCGTACGTACCGCCTCTTATAGGTCTTGCGCTTTGTAAGCGTGTCAACAGCGTCTCGAAGGCGGCCTATTTCCTCCTGCACTAACACCATATTATAAGCTATCTGCTAAGCGCCTTTACTTAGCCGCTTAACTTGCTTATCTAATGAACTTGCTAGAGACCCTTAATAGTTTTGCATGCAATTTCGAATCAGCGTAGATTGCGCCTCTATCTCGCGGGTGTTGCGCGGTGTTTGCGCCTCCCAGGCGACAGTGTCTAGTGCAGGTGGTGTTGGCGTACGCAGCTGTACATCAAGCTTTGATAACACAGCGTCTGGGTTGTACGGGACTAGCCCAGCGCCTCGAAACCCTGCGCAAACGTTCTCTGCTGTAAACGTCTTCTCAAAAGCAGCTCTAAAGGCTGGTAGGAAGGTGTCTTTGTTAATGTGGTGGATGCGGCTGCGTGCCAAGAGCGATATCCCATTGCCATAGTAGCGCTTCAACAGCGAGTAGCAGACAATGTCAAGTGGTTGCAGCAGGTGCGACGAGTGAGGTGGCATGCAGAGAGCGATAATCTCGTTCTCCTTGCAGTAGTCCTGGAATTCTACTGAGCAGTGGCTCTCATGGCCGTCAATAATAAGCAGCCTGTATGCTCCAGCAGAGGACGCCTTTGTATAAGCGTCAAAGTGCTTAAGCCACGCGAGCGCGAGGTCGTTGTTAATCCAGCCAGTAGGAGAAACAGCAATAACCCAATTGCGAGGTAGATCAGCATACCAGGTAGAGATGAGGACCTTGCCTGCAAAGATGAGGAACGGTGGGATGATGCGCCCTGTCGCAGCGACGCCTTGTACCAGGGTAACCCACTCGCGATCGCCAGGCTGTAGTTTCTTCTGTTTCCCAGGTTTCTCTAAGCCTGTAACTACAAGCTGAGAGGATATCTTGCCCATCATGAAGCCAGACTCATCAAAGTGCTAGGTATCCTCATCCGCGATACCATACTTCGCCTTCATCGATTGAACGAGCGTGAACCAGGGCCTAATAACCGCTGGATCCTCGCAGACAGCTCGCTGGCGATCGTACGGACGGCTCCACCGCGTGCGCAGCTCAGGTGTACGCGCGATAAACCTGTCCACCCAGTTCTTGCCTGTAGGCTTCCCGCCACGCTCTCGCAGCAGTCTGTCAGCCATATCTCGTACGTGTGCCTTCGAGGGCGGTATGCCACGTAAAGACTCGTCGAGTACACGCTGTACAATCGCCTCCTCTTCTAGTTTTGTAAGGCTCTTCCGATTCGGCTCACACTCGCGTCGAGAGTGTGTTGCGTTGCGTCGCCGCTGTATTGTCCTTCGGGGAACGTTGTAAATTGCCTCAGCGTGTCGCAGACTTTTTAGTTGGTTACATTGGATATCAGAGATAGCAAGCTGTACATCAGCTTCATTGTAGAGTCTAGAGGCTTTGTAGTGTTGAGACATTACGCGTTGTTGCTGCGCTGGCGTTTTGGTGGGTAAACTTGGGCGCTCGATGGGGTGGGGCGCTCGATGGTGAACCACGTTATAGGAAGACGCGTTAAGGTGGGTGATTACCTAAACTACCTGCAACTACAACACTAAAAAAGTATCGTGAGATAGCTTTTGCTACAAAATCAATAGCCTCAACGCCTACTTATTTCTATATGTAAAAGTACCCGGCCAACCCGGCCAAATACGGCTTTTGCTACTCCTCCAGCCGGCTGGATACCTATTTTTCGCGGCCTTCGGCCGGCTGGCTGGATACCTATATTAATAAGGCTGGCCTTCAAGCCATCCGGCCAGCCGTATTGTTGACAAGTTTGGTTGGTAGAGCGTTAGGGCGGGATGACTTC